AGCCCTTGTGTAGCTTTGCGCGAAATTCAAAAAACAAACAAACATATATTCGATTTTAATAAGTAGAAAAAGATTCGTATCACGCCAAATTTCACGACTTTTATACAAATTTATAAAAATCATATCAGCTCTTATTTAAATTATTTTTTCACTTTTCAGTTTATTTTCCACATTATGATTATATCACAAATCCATTGATATTTTACACGTACCAGAACGCACCTTTCTAATTATTTCATATAACCTAAAAATTATGGTTTAAATGTCGAAAGAAAATGAAACACCCAGTAGACCTAAAGTTTATGATAAAAATTCTCTCGCAAAGTTTAAACCTAAAAATTAATTTCAAGTACCATCATTAGTTAAGACTAATGACAATATGTTTGGGATAAACTGGAACGCAAAATTAGGGCAAGGCCAAGATGGCCCTCTTCAGTAGTAGAGCCTACTAATGCTTTAAAGCAGGAATGTAGCACAATAACACCAGCTTTCTACAAGAAATTACTAGACAGTCTTCCACGACGCATTCAAGCAGTCATTAAGACCAAAGGTGAGCCAACACGCTATTAATTTCTTGGAATAAAGACATGTTTTATTCTTAACTATCTGTGTCATATAACTTTTGGTAGGATAGTGTATATTAGATTCTAACTAAATCTGTCATAATTAGTGTATTTAAATAGGTGCTTAAAAATTATCATAATTAAAAAGGGATTATTCTATATCGTTACAAATAAAGAAGATTGGACAATCAACATTTAAACAATTTATTTTCAGGCACATTGTGCTAGTATATTAAGAGTAAAAAACACAAAAAACGACTTTTTTTGGTACATAGAAGGGTAAAATCTTTATTAGTTTTGGTAACACAGTTACCACTATCAGGGCTAGTATCTACAGTCAACATGTCCTGTTGAGATACTTATTTACCTTGAGTAATACCTCATTTACGATTTAGTTTCTACCCCTTATTTCCAGAATTTGTTTTTAAAACTGAACTGGTCCATTAACGGTTGTAACTGAATATTTGCTAAGCTAACGCTGTAAATACTAGCCCTGGTGATGGTAACTGTGTTACCGAAACTAGTTGGCTGTAACTAATAATAAATATTTCACCTTTCGTTGTGCCAAGGAACGTGGGTTTTTGTGGTTATTTACTCTTAACATTTAAACGCTTAAGGGACAGTTACACATGTTTTCACCAATTTTAATGGAATCTCCCTCTCAGCCGGAAACCCCTTCAAAACCGAATTTTTGTCTGGTCAGGAAGCTGTTTGGTTTAGAGGGATTACACTTTACTGTCTTGAGAAGCTGTCTGAATTTCAGGACATCATACTCTTTTAAGATATTAAACTCTCAAACCTTGAGGGGTTTATTTTCACAGGCTCCATACCACGTGCTGACCTACAAACTGAGATGACCATCACAATTCGACATTATAGCAACATCTGCTATGTGCATTATGATAACTCTCAGTGGAAAATAATCATTACAGGCTACAACCTATCCAGATAGCATACCCAAAGTTACGTACATACATTCAAATCACCAACATGTACGTGAAAGACAACATAATATTATCAAATTGAAAGTTCCTGCAGAATCAATCCCAGTCACCTCACCTGAGATCCAAGTAAAAACACTAATGGAAAAAGTTAATATTCTGCTCTTTACAGTATATCCCTCAGTCTTATACTTAGAAAACTCGGTTGAACCAACAAGAATCAGTGAGTGCAAAGTTGATAGAGACTCCTGTTTATAACTTGCTTTTGCTAATCCCACCTTGATTTAAGGATGCCAAGCTGTCTGGAATTACTAATACCCTCAACCACTTATTCACCATCGAGCAAACTTCTAAAAGCCACACTTTATGTTGGTGGAATAGTGATACTGATAAAGCACACAAGCAAGTCCAGGCTGAGTTAATGTAGATAAGACATGAACCAGCACAAGCAGAGGAGGCAAGAACTGCATGGAATAGAGTAGGTGCTCTTTACAGGTGATCAGCTTACAAAGCATAAGGCATGAAATGAACTGTGCAGCAAGGCCAATCTCACACGCATCTAATTCTGGCACTTGGACGGCACAAAAATAAAAAAAATACACACTATCCCATTTTATACAATTAAGACAAAGGTAAGGTCTTAATGAGCAGATACCTTATTCAGTGTGATCGTGGTGACATGCAAGAGAAGTTCAAGCCACAGATGTCCCTATCTGAGCTACAACTACATGTAGATATGGAAGCCATCTTTAGTTTGGGTGAGGTATACAGATCAATAAATACACTTAAATATGGAGCTTACAGAAGCAAACCTGTTGACGTTATTGTTAGAGTATCAATGTAATTAAGAAACAGGTAGCAACCCTGAGAAATGGAATGAAGCTTTTATCAAATCCTTATCCAAGCCCTTGAAAGCTCACTTTCACCTTAAAAGCAGTTGAATCATCGTCTTAAAAATATCTTTGGCAAGATCCTATTGGCTTTAGCTACAAGTCATGCTTATCAGAGTAAACCACTGCTACCTTCATCACTAGGTGATTATCATTATGTAAGAGAAATCTGGATTAATGCTGTTAAGTTCGCATATGATAGACAAATATAGTCAAAACACCTAGGCAACAGTTTTAGATCTGGAAGATGCTTACAATAGAATCTGAAATAAGTCTTAGAATAGGTGTTAGTGTAAAATGTGTAAGAGAAAGCTGGATCATTGGTGCTGAGTTCGCAACAGATACATGTGACAAATTTGAAGCTGGTTAGATCACTTAGGCAGTGGCTTTAGATCTGGAAGATCAGTTCAATATAATCCATTTGCCCATACTGCTGAAAAAGTTTTAAGAATAGGCATCAGTATAAAGTGTGTAAGATGGATCATACCTGCACGAACTACCAAATAATGCAGCATGGAGCATGAAAGGTGGTAAGCAGACTAGATCACCATTAATACTGGTCTATCTCAAGGATAACCAATCTCGCCAATCCTCTTCAACATCTACACCATGAATATAGCTAGCTAACCTGCCTTGGTAGTCCAACCAGGTGCTGTGTGCTAACCTTCGCTGATGACATTTTGATGTTCAATAAAGGTACCAGCAAGGCTGAAATCGAAAACAAAATGAACCATCTCTTAGTAGATTGAATACATTATAGAATGACAAAGAAATGGTCATCATTTCTGTCAAAGCCACAGCCTATTCAGCACACTCAATAACAGATATGTTGATGATGACAAACCATCACCATACTTTTCAGGCACGTCCATCCCTTTAGAAGAAATACTTAAGTATTTGGGGATAACCTTTGGTAGTGAACTCAATTTTACCAGCCAAATTAATACCAATATAATGAAAGCTACCAAAGGCATCAATGTAATGAAAGTTGCAGCAGGATATAAAGATGAAGGATTACCTGCTAATGGTCTACCAAAGTTTTATTTGCTATATCCTGGATTATACAGTACCAATGATCATGGTTTCATAGCTTGATAAGATCAAGGGATGTATTTCAGTCACCCTAATCAAAGCCCAATTTCATTTCAGAAGTCTCAATAGCACTCACAAGCAAACAGGAATGGAAGTGTAAAGATCATGCAATCCCCATTGAGGCACTACTTTTTTCAACTGGGACATTCCAGTTCCACAACGCCCTGTAGGCACCAACCAAGTAGAGGAGGTTGCCTAAAAGACCCCACGGGAAACAATCAGGAGTGGACAAGTGTTATACAGCCACTACTGAGATAATGGGCTACCACCAAATCTCTGACACCAACACGTGGAATAAACATCTGTTGCCACTTGGATATGTGGAAATATGGCAAGACAGAAAATGTAGAGACTGGGTAGAGGTAAAGCATTAAAACCCTGTCAGTATACAGTCATATGTCAGAGCCACAGATAGCAAGATAAGCTGATTGGGCATTTATCATCTCGTGAAGCAACGAAATTCTACATAAAGTTGGTGAAACATTCAAGTTTCCCACAAGTAGCACAAGTAGCATTTAAATAAATACACTATTTATGAGAATATTTAATAAAGTACTAGTCTGATCAAACAATTCTGGTAATATATATTTACATACCCTTCACTTAATAAGCTTTCTAGGTTATCCTTTTCTCCCTCCATGATGATATACAACTCACCCATTTGTGTCTCACTATCTGGATGATTGGCTAATTCCACCACCACCTGATAGTGGTACACTGAAAAAAAGTAATGCAATAACGTTATAATTACATTATTACCGAAATATTATTGCAAAGTACCAAAACTGTTGCTATTTATGCTCTTGTGCCTTAAACACAATATGATTTTACTTCCTTAAAACTCTATTACGATTTTAACTTAATCCTAATGAAGACGTAATGGCATAATGTTGTACTAAACTAAATTATATAATTTTATTCTTTTTTAACATAAAATATTATTATTTTGTATTTATAAGACACTATAAACAAAACCAGATAGCTTAAGATTTAGGCATCTATGATATACTTAGTAGCGATAAATGGAACATTAAAACTATAAGGATAATTACCAAAGTAGTAATTAGAACTTAACATATCAATGTGGTAATTTTGAACATTAGAAAGAAAAATATAAATGTAATAATCTTATAAAAATAACTAAGTAAGACCAATTATAAAAGGATCCATAAAAACGAAACAATGTTAAAGAATAATTACCCTTTACTTTTGAAATTAATAAATGTCGTGAATAATATTTAAACAAAAATTATCAAGTTCGTCAAATATGTTATAACTTATAATTATCATCACGTTCGAAGCGATTATTTTTTCTGCACTACTTGGTTTCATTTGTAATACTGTTGTCACAAAATATGTTTGATACGATATGATGCTAAGACACACACACAATCATTAAAGGGCCCGAAAATATAAAATTATCTCAATCTCTTTTGGATAAACGTTTTTTTTTCACACTTTCTTCAGGTTAAAGTCAATTTAAGGGTTAAAATATTCAATGAAAATGCAAACCAATAAGTATAACTATAAGAATTATTCAATACCGTTTTTGTAACATTACAGTATTCAAAAGTTGGTTATATTAATAAAAACTTACACATTTACTAATATTTTAAGCTATTCATAACATAATAAAGTTTTATTGAAGTGCGAGTTTACACAAAGCATGTGTAACATTTGCCTAGTCCCCGTTCTGTAATTTATTTATGACATAGTGAAAAAGCCTGTATTTTATATTAATAATTTTAATATAGTATATACATCATACTAACGACAATACGGGATGGTTGATCGAGTTGTCAGGTAGAATTTTTTGTTCATCGTTTCGTTTTTATACTGACGAAGTTTATCTGCTTTGAATCCCATGAAGGCGCAATTCCTTCCCCCCTCTCCACAGTCGATACAGTTTCCGTTAATAAAATCTCTCCAGGTGTCACACGCGACACCTATTGGCTCGCAAGTGTTATCGTTGATGGAGTCCAAAAAGTAATGTATGGACCGTATGTGATCACATGCGACAAGTTGTTGGAAGCCTGTATTTAAAACATAGTTGTTAGAATTAATTCTAGTAATAAAATAATTGCGTAGGCGAGAAAATAACAAAATGCAAAACAGAATATAAAGTAGTGGTGAAAACTCGCCGAATTAAAATAATTTTATTAATAAAACACGAAAATAACGTTTCACACAACAGCCCTTGGTCAGGTTACCAGTGGCAATCAAACTGTCAATACAACAATTAGGTTGAAAGAACAAGTAACACGTGGTTCGAAGGCTCGAAAACATATTCCTGAAGCTGCAAATGAGATAAGGGAAGTAACGTATGTAAAAACTGTATAAATACAGTAAATCGTAGTAAATAAACTAAATAGAAAAAAAAATGTGGAACAAAAATACAGACAACAATGTAAGGAAATGAATGAACACGTGCATCTGGTAACATTGTTCAAAGGGATGCAACAATGAAAGGTATGTGAACTTAATAGGAGTGAAGAACGACAATGAAAAAAAATATAGGTAACAAAAGTAGGTTACTAAAGTGAACGGGCTAGAGAGGAGAAAGGGTGCGAACCTAGAACTAAAAGGTTGTAGACACAAATTGTCAGCGTGAGAAAGTATAGGGTGGGGAAATGGAGAGGATAGATTTAAAGGGAAGAGAACTCTTTATTCATTCCAAAGGCATTAACAGTGAATAATCTAAAACTTAAGCGTTTTCCCAGGCGTTCTCTTTGCGTTACAGTGGATGGAGCAAATGTTACTGTAAATTTTATTATTGTTTGTGTATTAAAATATATTTGTATTTGAAAAAAATATAAAACTGTGTGTATCAATCTTGTTGGCAATTATCATAAGTTGGAAATATATTAGCATTTATTTAACTACTAAATTTAAATTATCATTTAGCTCGGTTTCAGACCATTCGAAATTGTAATACGTAACATAATATCACGTGAACGATCCCCTAAGCGGCGACCCGTTTGACCAACGTTGCACTTTTTACAGCATACACAGTATGTTAGGCTTGTTGAAATGCAAGTGAATGATTGTTATATTTGAAATTTTCCATTGGGCCACATATGAATGTTGTGGTGTTAACATATTGGCAGGTAACGCATTACTTTCTGTGACACCAGACTGTATCCAGGTTCACAGTAGAGGTAGATTTCTGGATGACACTGTGGACTAAAATGTTTTTTTATATTTTTATCGTGTATATAACTGATAAGTGAGGGTTGTTTAACAATTTTGGAAGTTATGGGGTCATCAGTGAGGATGTTGAAGTTTTGTTTGATGATTTGGGTAACTTTAGAGGTATTAGGATGATAAGTAAAGATAAGTAGTATTCGAGAGTTTGTAGACTTGGGTTTAGGTTTTAGGGTGTATTGTCGGGTTACAGAATGGGCGGCTTTTTCTATTAAAGACGTATGGTAGGAGTGACTGATAAAGAAATATTTCATATCTTCAAATTTCGACTCGTAATCGATTTGTTCACTGCAGAGTTTGCGCAGTCTTAGGAACTGGGAATATGGAAGAGATTAAAACGTTAGACGTGTATGGGAAAAGTCATAGCGGAAGTAAGAATGGGAATATGGAAGAGATTAAAACGTTAGACGTGTATGGGAAAAGTCATAGCGGAAGTAAGAATGGGAATATGGAAGAGATTAAAACGTTAGACGTGTATGGGAAAAGTCATAGCGGAAGTAAGAATGGGAATATGGAAGAGAGTGAAACGTATTACATGGATGGGAAAAGTCATAGCGGAAGTAAGAATGGGAATCATTGGGTTTGTAGTGTACTGAAGTCATTCAATGACGATATTCATTGGGGATGAGAATACCTAAAAAAGTGTAAGCTCTTGGAAGAAACTGTCCATGTGAAGGTAAGCGCTGGATGGAAGGAGGAAACGATGTGTAGAAAATGATTTAAGTCACACAAGAGTGTACTGGTAGCACCAACAATGTCATCAGTATAACGTTTGTAAAGAGTAGGAAGTGTTCCTTGATAAGTGGAGAAAATCTGTTTCTCTATGTAACCAATAAACAATGAAGCATAAGAAGAACCCATTTTAACATCCATAGCAATACCTTTTGTTTGTTGGTAAAATTTGCCATTAAAGGAGAATCCATTCAGGGTTAAGTTCGGCAAGACGTGAGAGGGTATGCGCGGGAGGATTTAGTGAAGAACGCAGATCCAGCTAATGTTTGAGGGTTTCATGTTTGCATGTTCGTGGTAAATATATACTGTTCACTAACAGAGAATTGAAAATTATTGAAAGTTCGTAGTGCGTGTTTCGTGTCTTTTATGTAACTAGGAAGAGATGAAACGATGGGATTAAGGACGTCATCAAGGAAAGACGAAATTAATTCGGTAGAGCAGTTACAGGGTTCCTGATTTATGAATCTTAGAGAGGAGGTAAAATTCTGGGATTACTAACAATAAGATTTGTAGCATCTGATGGCAAATTACCTGTATGAATTTTTTTTTATAATAAGACTTAAACAGAACTTAATCAGAACATAGGCATAAAATGCATATTTTTTTATCAGTACAGGAATATTTTATTACAAATGATCAAATACAAAAGTTGACTGTTTTACGAATGAACATTATATTTTTATACAATATTTTTAGTTTTGGGGACAAATAACATTGGTTAAAAAAATGCTAAACTATTACTTCACAATATTATTACTAAACAGCTAACATACGCAATTATTTTTTTAAATATTTAATTCCAAACTATTTAGATCCCCAAGTGACTCAGCGATAAATTTGAAGGCTTATAACGCTAAAAACCGTGTTTCTATACCCTTGGTGAGTACAGAACAGATAGCCCATTGGGTAGCTTTGTGCGTAACAATAAACAAACTAGGTTACTTATATCGCACGAATTTTACCGAATCCTTGACATTCGGTACTTCGATTTTACACTGTAATTGCTCGTTTCGAAGAAATATAATATTGTTACGACAGCGGAAGTCACGTGACGCTAGTAACACGTCATGATATTCTAGAAGGATCATGTCTGTTCGTGCCAACTCTGGTCTTTTCTACACGCCCACTATTCTTGTATATAAGTGCACCAGATAAAGCGAATTTAATTAATCGGAATAGAATTGCAGACAGACAGAGACAGACAATTGAGTCAAGCGTGGTAGTGACCGTAAATAAAGTGCGTGAATCGTTGTGAATTATAGCGTGTGTTTAAGATAAAGTGACTGTGGAACTTAAGTGTATTGCAAAGTTGAGTTGAAAAAGAATAAACTAGTTTTATTTAAGAAAGGACTTGTATCGCTGAAGTTTCTCAGTAAGAATTTCTACGAAAAATTAACCAACGACCAGAGACGTAACAAATTGGTGTCAGAAGTGGGATTAAAAAAAAAAGAGAAGAAAAAGAAGATGGAAACGAAAAGTGGCAAATCAAACTACAGCTTAGCAGATTTGATGGCAGCAATGCAAGAACAGCAAAAGAAACAAGAAGAGAGATTACAGCAGTTGTTGGAGGAAAAATAAAAGAAACAAGAAGAACGAGAAAAGAGACAAGAAGAGAGACAACAGCAGTAGCAAGAAAACCTGCAACAGTGACATCTTGAACAGCAAAATAAACAAAAGAGATTACAACAGCTGTTGGAGGAAAAAGAAAAGAAACAAGAAGAACGAAAATATAAACAAGAAGAGAGACTACAGCAGTGGCAACTGGAACAAGAAAGGAAAAAGAAGTACAAATGGAAAACATTAATAAGTTTCAAAGCGAATTAAATACATTAAAGGATGATTTATTGTCTTTTACACAAGGATGATACATTAACTATCGACTTAATCAGCCTCAGACAACGGGAAGCCCCTTCCAGGCCCGCAGATAAACCCTAATGCAGACATCTTCAGTCCTGTTAGAAGTCACATCCCAGATATGAATGTCAGCAATAGGAGTGATTTAGTACGAAGGAAGCCACAGGAATTCGATGGGAAGGCACCGTGGGAAGCATATAGAGTACAATTTGAGCTCCTGGCAGAGATGAATGGATGGACAGAAGAGCAGAACGCAGTGTACTTGGCAACGAGCCTGAAGGGACAAACACTGGAAATACTTGGACGGTTGTCAGCAGATAACAGGCACAACTATATAGCACTGGTAGCTGCTCTAGAAATCAAGTATGGAACTCAAAATCAGTCCGAAGTCTATAGGGCTAGGTTTAGGACTAGAGTCCATGCTAAAGGGGAGAGCATGCAAGAGCTGGCACAGGATTTGGAAAGTATGGCACACAAGGCCTACCCAACTGCACCACTCGATCTCCTCAAGTTGATGGTGAGGGATCAGTTTGTAGATGCCTTGGACAGTACACAACTGAAGATACAAGTAAAGCAAGCACACCCCTCTTCTATGCATGACGCAATGGCCAGAGCTCTTGAATTCGAATCCTATGTTAAGTCCAGCACAGAGGTACCAAGGTTGGTACAGTCATCAGGATTCAAGGCCAAAAAAGACCAGCTTTCAGAGAGGTTTGAGGGACTTTGCTGGCACTGTAACAAACCAGGGCACAAGAGAGCTCAATGCCAGCAACTTCAACACAGAGAAGATGCCACGGCAAGAAAGGCTGCTACCCAGAAAGGTTGTTGGAATTGTGGAGAGCAAGGACATATGAGGAGCCAGTGTAGGAAGAATACTACCAATAAGTCAACTTCGGGAAACCAGTAGTGATTCGTGTTGAGGGACGCCCACCAACCCCCATCGTGAAAGTCCCAACAGCTAAGTGTAAAATGCCAAGCACACATAGTGTCTACGTGACAGGAAAGCTGGATGGCCAAA